ATCAGCACCACCTGATTCCAAAAACAGATAAAATCCACCAACAAACCAACAAGTAAGCCAAACTAGAGAGAAAGTTTCCAGAGGAACACAGACAAATTATCAGTAAAATGCTTGCAAATCAAATTCGGGATCACATTTTATTATACACATGCACACATGCATGCACGCACACACGCACACATACACATGCATGCACACACATGCAGTCATGCAAACACACAAAACATTATATGCAATGCAATATATAAATAAATATATACACACAAATCTCATTATCATCTTAACCAACACAAAACAAAGCTTCTCATAAAACTTGACAACATGGCTTCATGATCAAATCTCTAAGAAAATTAGCAATAGAGGAAATATATCTCAACACAGAAAGTATGCATGCCAAGTTTATAACCAACATTATATGAAATGGGAAAAAACAAAATGTTTCTACTAAAATCAGGAATGAGACAAGATTCTACTCCTCTAATTTAGTATAATGTTCAAAGTCTTAGCTTCAGTAGTAAGACAAGAGAAATAAATAAACAGAACACAAATAGAAAAAAATATGGAAAAAATGATATAATCCTATGCATATAGTATGCCAAGTGCCCCATGGGAAACCTGTTTTCCAGATATATATTCTGATATATAGCAAGATATTTTAAAAGTACTAAGATAATTTTCTTTTCTATATACAAATAATGAATTGGCAAATAATGAAATGTGGAAAAATCCACTTATAATACATCAAAATAAACTATTTAAGAGAGTGAAAGATAGCTGTAATGAAAGTTTTAAGAAACTGAAGAAAGAAATTTAAGAAAACTTTAGCATATTGAAAGACAATCTATGTTCATGGATTCCAGAAGTATTGTAAATATGATTTGTTATTAGAAATATATATGCTAAGTTGAATGTTAAAAAATATACTAGTAATTAGTAATGAAATGATGACTTGTGAATATTGGGACTCATGAACTTCTAAGAATTTTGAAATATTATCTTCATTCATCACAATTTTCATCATCATAGTCTTTTAGTAGTAAGCTCTGCTTGGTTACCATGCAAAGAAGAAATCAAATAATTCTGTAAAACAATCCCCAATAGTTTGTAGAAAATCTTTGTAATTGTATAATGGATTGACAGTTGGAAAATGTCATTATTTCTAGAATTCACCTATTGACTTTTTCTTCTAGAGATACTGAAGATGTTTGTTTGTCTGTTTGTTTTTTTGGTGTGTTTCTTTAGGCTTTCTAAAACTTATTCTCTAGGTTTTTCTGAAATAGTAATTATTGAATTTGGAAATTTTTCATCATGTATGACTACAAACAGAAAAAGGGATCCTGATATTCTGTTTCCCCTCTTGGTTATCAGTAACCTGCCCTGTCAGACTTTGGTCAACAAAATAAATATTGATAATTTTGCTCCAAATAAATGAACTTCTAAAGTATAATTACTTTTTTAAAAAACAATCAGAATTTAAATTGCTTTATTCCTTCCTTTTATAGTTTTCTAAAATTATAAATTTTGTTTGTGTTCACATTTTGGAACGGGTTAATTGAGAAGATCTTCTTGGTTTATTTAAGTATTATATTTATGATTTACCATATTACAGAATTCAGTACACTGAAGGCTTTTGTCATATTCTGAAGGTTTATTATATTATATTATTATATTAAAATAGTGTTTTACACTAAATCAATTTTGTATATATTTATTATTTTAAGGTTTAAAAAGTTTCAGTTATATGGTTATATACACATGAATTTAAATGCTGGCGGGATACAAAAGGGTGTCAAATCCCATATAGTTGGAGTCACAGGTGGTTATGAGCTCTCCAGTGTGCATATTGAGAACCAATTTTGGATCCTCTCCAACAAAACTAAATAATATTAACCATGAAGCCATTTCTCCAGCCGCCGCCTGTAAATTTTAGTTATAGGATTTAGGAAACAAAGTTTCAAAATTTATATATTACTTTAGAAATTGTCATATGAAGTACCTTTATTTACAGAAGAAGAAAATGACAAGCAGCCCAATGAACAAAAGCAGTGATTTGTCTGATGCTTATTATTATAAATATTTTATAGTGAATTTGACTATGACATCATATACCCACAGAAGATGATGATGCACATACTACTTTCATTCCTACCCTACAAACAAAAATACTGAAAAAGAAAAGCTCCTAAGAGAAGCTTACATGGTCAAGGGGTAGTGGCAGCTAGATGTATATCTACTTTTACTCTGATATTCTGTAACTCTCTGTTACATACCACACTGGCTTCCATCTCAGTGTTATAACAGGGTGTGGCGACACAGACATGGATACCGTGTCTTCTGTGTTGAAGTCTGTTTTTCTATCAAATGTAACCATCCCTTTCCAAAGTAGCAGCTGAACGATGACAACTTTCATTGCCACTTTTCCTGTTACCACATTATAATAATGTGTTGTTTAATTTTTAAATGTCACATTCACAGACCTCTATTATTAGCTAGAACAGTTTTATCTATTTGCCTTCACTGATATTTTATGCTGCGTAACTGTTTGCTGTGGACTCAGCCTTATGCATTGTAAGATGCTATTAGCATCCCTGGCCTCTTTTTGCTAGCTCCAAGTACATCCTGAAGTCATGACAACTAAAAGTTTATTCAGACACTGCCAACCATCCTCTGGGGAATAAAACTGCCTGCTGATGAGTATCACAGCTGGAAAGATTTAGGTCACAAAATCATACTTTGTCTTCTTTCCCTCAAGTTGCCTCTCTGTCCTAGTTAACCTGGGAAGTGCATTTGGTATTGTGGAAATCAAACACTGTGAAGACATAAGGTGCTTGAGAAATACTATTGTCTCTTTCACTACCCATCCTCTCATGTTTCCCAGAGGAGACAGTGTTAGATATTCATATAACTTCTAGTTTCTAACATACTCAAAAGGACGAATTATAGAGGCAATAAAGAAAAATTTGCCTTGTTAGGGATTACAAATTGCTCCTAAAAAATACAATGAAGAGATGCTATTAAATTATTTAGGATATAAAATAGGTCTATAAAAAAATTCAACCCCAAAAGTGGCAATTTAGGAGAGATTGATTATGGACTTTTAATGACTTTCAGAAATTAATCATCAATGGCCCACTATTGAAGTAAAAAACCCAAACTGAATAATTTGTTTCAAACCTTAAAAGGTGACAAAGACTTAAGTAGTCCAAGAAAATTATTATCTAAAGCTGAGAGAAAATTGGCTTTGGTGGAAAAGAAATTACAGCTTGTGCACGTGGATCATTTGAATCTAGAACTTGATTGTATTCTGATTATTTTAGTCTCTACATATTCTCCTGTAAGAATATTAATGTAGAGGGAAGATATTATCTTAGAATGGATTTTTTACCACATAAACAGAGTAAAAAATTTAAAAACTTTTGTGGAAAATGTCTCTGAGTTGATTGAAAATGGAAAAATCGAGATTCCATCAAATAGCAGCAGTTGACCCAGCAGAAACCATGGTACCTTTTACTAATGATGAAATTGACTTGATAAGGGCGGAAAATGATCATTGGCAGAAAACTTTGTAGCTGAAGTATTCTTAGTACCACCTGGCTCCCAGATGCCACACCAAGTAAACACACAGAGGTGAATATTAATTAAAACTGTTCAGCCATTTGCTCAGGCCTACCACTGACTAGCTCTTACATTTAATCTAACCCATAATTCTTATTTATGTTTAGCCACATATCTTGGTACCTTTTCTCAGTTCTGCCTTGTCATCTTGCTTCCTGTGTGTCTGGCTGGTGACTCCTGACTCAGCCCTCCTGTTCCCTGAATTCTCCTCTCTTTGTGGTGCCTATACATCCTGCCTGGCTACTGGCCAAACAGAACTTTATTTGTTAACCAATCAGAGCAACACATTCACAGCATACAGAGTGATATCCATAGCACTTCCCCTTTTCTTTCTTTTTTTTTTCCAAAAAGGAAGGTTTTAACTTTCACATAATAAAATTACATGTATCAAAACAATTATCAAGCAAGAATTACAGTTACTGTATCTGTTCTATTTATAGTATCTAGTCTATTTGTATTTGGCAAAATTAAAGAAGATATGCTATCTATCCTAGATTTGTGAGTCTAAGGTTTCATGTGTAACTTAACTTTTATCATAACTAAGGAAATTATAACTATCCAGTCTTCAACTACATCAAAGATCTCAGAAGGATATGCTATTACCTGAGAAACAGAAGAAAAATGCAAGCAACTTTTGGGAGTCTTGTGAGAGTAGACAGAGACAGCTGGCAGCCTGGACAGTCATCCAAAGTTCCTTTGTAAATTTGGGGCATCTGTCTTTAGTCCACAGGCCTAGAGTAATTAGTAACTTCTCTCTTTGTCCTGTAGAATGTCTGGCAATTTCCTCTGCAAAGCAGAAACCTGAAGGACCATTTTGCCAAGCAAAGTTCAGTGGTCACCTTCCTATAGGTCCTGCGTGTCCAGTCGATCAAGCAGTCCAGGCAAGAACAATTTCTTGCACAAATGGCTATTTTTGCCAAGAAGAAGATAAACTTCATATGGAGTGTCTTTGATGCCCATCCTCCTCTCTGAAGCAAATTGGTGTTGCCAGGAGCAGACATGTCTCGCTCTCTAGAAAGTCTAAATTTTTAAAACATTTTAAATGCCATATTCTGTAGATCTTTGAAGTGTTTGAAGATTACCTACCTTATTGGATTATATCTATATATACCTAGAAAACTTAACATGACTATACATTTGACTATCATAGAAGACTATTAATCTGTATTTTAATTATCCATTATAATCTAAATGAGTTACATAAACATAATACCTCAAACAAGACTAGAAATATATATATACAGTATAACAAAATTAAGTTTAAACTTGTATAAGTAAACTAAAATCCATAGCAATATAAAACATTTCTAAACAAGGTATTGCTCTTTAAAAGTAGGTTCATGACTAGCATGTTCTGCCTGAATTTTTTGTCTTAATCGATTAAGACAAAAAATTCAGGGAAGAAATAATGAAGCAGTACCAGGAAGCGAGAGAAACCTATCTTGATCTGGATAATAAAGTAAGGACTTTAAGAAGGTTCATTAAGTTACTAGAAGAAATAATGACTCATAGGTACAAAACATATCAACAGTTTAGAAGGTGTTTGACGTTGCGATGCAAATTATACTTTGACAACTTACTATCTCAGCGGGCTTACTGTGGAAAAATGAATTTTGACCACAAGAATGAAACTCTGAGTATTTCAGTTCAGCCTGGAGAGGGAAATAAAGCTTCCTTCAATGACATGCGTGCTTTGTCCGGTGGTGAACGGTCTTTCTCCACAGTGTGCTTCATTCTTTCCCTGTGGTCCATTGCCGAATCACCTTTCAGATGCCTGGATGAGTTTGATGTCTACATGGATATGGTTAATAGGAGAATTGCGATGGATATGATACTTAAGATGGCAGACTCCCAGCGTTTTAGACAATTTATCTTGCTTACCCCTCAAAGCATGAGCTCACTTCCTTCAAGTAAACTGATTAGAATTCTTCGAATGTCTGATCCTGAAAGAGGGCAAACCACATTGCCTTTCCGACCTGTGACTCAAGAGGAAGATGACAATACAAGCTGACAACTTAGTGCCTTGCCCTCATGCTGAAAGGTTGTGAGGGGATCTGGACTGTCGGATGGAATAGAATGAGACTAGAGAGATTCTGGAATAGAAGAGGCTCCTTTAATCTGACCCATCGATTGTGTGCAGCCTAGAAAACCAGCCGCTGCCAACAGTTAAAATTACTACTGCTTTCTTTGTGAAAACCAATTTCATAATACTGGTTTTAAATCTTTTAAGTTGGTTTGCTTTGGAGTTTCTGTATTTTGTTTGTTTTTATCATCTACTTTTATAAATTTTTTCAGGAGTAAAATTTTGTACATATGCACATGTACATATCTGTTCAGTTTGGGTTCATTTCTATAGTATTTTGTAAGAATTAAAATAAAAGTTTGAGCACCTGAAAAAAAAAAGTAGGTTCATTAATCTACCCTTTCATCCTATTATTATCTATACAATCTCCTTTTCTTCTTTAGAAAGAGATTATATTTATAATCAATTTAAATAAAAATATGGGTTTTCCTCTGTCCTACACTAGAAGGCTCTTCTGATATGGGACAGAAGAATCTCTTAACCTTTTCTTTTAGCAATATGCTTGGGTTTAGAGAAGGAGTGGGCCAATCCCATTTCCAAAACCAGCTTGGTTTATTTGGGAATTTGGGTGAAGCTTCTCATACTACTTTCTGCTGGATGAGGACGCTGTATTCTTATGGGGACATAAAGAAAATATTAGGATTATGGAATAGTCCATGAGGCTGTATTGTCTGAACCAGTTGCCTTGAAACCATTCTGGATTTTGGATCATCTGGGCCATGGTGTCCTCTGAGACCTTTCAGGGGGTCTTGGCTGGTCAGACTTGATGTATCTTAATCTGGAACAAATCCATAGCCTCTTGGTTTCTGTGGAAACAAAAGCAGAGCCTCCTTTCCAAAGCAACATATCTTTAGATACAAATTTTAAAGTCAAGGTACTTTTAAAATATACATATTGTTTTAACTGAGCAGCCTTTATAATCAAATGTCTTTCTGCAGTTAAGAATCCCAAAGACAATATAATCCAGACTCTGTCTGTAATATTCATCTTTATGCAGTTTATTTTTAAATTACTTTTACTTTCTTTTTAAAGAATTTGTTTTTTTTTTTTTTTTTTTTTGGGTTTTCGAGACAGGGTTTCTCTGCGTAGTTTTGCGCCTTTCCTGGAGCTCACTTGGTAGCCCAGGCTGGCCTCGAACTCACAGCGATCCGCCTGGCTCTGCCTCCCGAGTGCTGGGATTAAAGGCGTGCGCCACCACCGCCCGGCAAGAATTTGTTTTTTAAAACTATTTCTTTATATAACTGCATATATTACTTTTTTTCTCTTCCAAGCCTACATACATTTTTACACACATTGTAAACTGTTTAGAGTTTTATCGCTTCTGAATCTGTCTTATTGTGAGTCTATTTCTTTAAACTGCATCATTTTCTGCCCACCTCAGGTTCCCAACATGGTGGTGATACATTTACTGCAAGCTCTGGGTCTGGAAGATCAACTCTCAGAAGCAGTGGGTCTATGCTTCTATCAAAGCAGCATGTAGCCCAGAAACCTCCTTTTATTTTTTTGATCTGTACTAGCAAAGGCTTAATCCACCACTCAATGTAATATGCAGCTTGCAGACACCTCATTCCCACCATGTTGTAGGTCAAGCCTGCATGCCAGGAACCTGCCATAAAGTAGCTCAAGCCTGCAGGCTGCCGTTAACTTGAGAAAGACAATTAGGAAGCTGTTTTCTAGCTTTGTTTTAGAATCTTCTTTCTTGGGTTTTAGGTGGAATCTCTTGCCCCATGTTCTGGCACCAATTGTAGCTGGTGTTTTCTCCAGTCCCACCCGAGCCCACAGACACTCTGACCCAAATAAACACACAGACGCTTATATTAATTAAAACTGGCCTAATGGCTCAGGCTTCTTGCTAGCTAGATCTTACACTTAAATTAATGCATAATTCTTATTTATGTTTAGCCACATATCTTGGTACATTTTCTCCGTTCTGCCTTCACATCTTGCTCCCCTGTGTCTGGCTGGTGACCCAGCCTTCCTGTTTCCCGAATTCTCCTCTCTCTTGTCCTGCCTATACTTCCTGCCTGGCTACTGGCCAATCAACACTTTATTTATTAACCAATAAGAGCAACACATTCACAGCATATAGAGCAATATCCAGAGCAGAGCTTCCAGTAATTTTTGGGAAAGATTAACAACAAATATATCAAAAGCAAGAGAATTTAATTTATAAAAAGGTCAGATTGGATTCTTCCTTATATTGTATAACAAACACCAATTTCTGAGCCCCTACATTTTATACTGTTGCAAACAAATCAGGAAAGGAAGATTATAAATCAGGAAAATTAAGTAAAGTGGCTCAAAGCCCTTAGGATTCTGTCCAAATGTCAGAATCATATGCTATTCTCATGGTATTAAGGGATTTTACAGAACCTCTTAACATAATTACTGATTCTCCATATGCAGAAAGCATTGTTTTACACATTGAAAATGCTAAATTTATTCCTGATGAGTCACAATTAACTTTGTTATTTATGTGATCACAAGAAATAATCAGGAATAAGAATTGTAACTTATATATAACACTCATCAAGTCCCATATGGATCTACCACTCCCTCTAGTACAAGGTAATAATGAAATTGATCAACTATTGCTAAAAAATGTGCTGGAGGCCTGAGAGTTTTATTTAAAAAAAAAAACACTAAGTCAAAAGCAAAGGTTTGAAAAAAGATTTTTTCCATCACTTGGCAACAAGCCTATGAAATTATAGGGAAATGTCCTACTTGTTCTTTATACAACCAGACTCCACTACCTGCAGGAAATAACCCACAGGATACTCAAAGAAATAAAATTTGACAGATGGATATGTTTTATTTAGCAGAATTTGGAAAATTAAAATATTTATACCATACCATAGGTAGATATTGAGAATTTCAAGGGGCAATTGCTTTGAGTTCTGAAAAAGCTGATTCTGTAAATCACACAATTGTTAGAAGTTATGGCCATCATGGGTATACCTGTACAAATTCAGACTGACAATGCTCCAGCATGTCTGTAAATGAAACAGTTTTATATTTACTACAATATAAAGCATATTACAGCCGTACCACACAATCATACAGGGCACTAAAGTATATGCTAAATAAACAGAAAAGGGTAACAAAGACACCCAGAAATAGATTGCATAATGCTTTATTATCTTTTAATTTTCTCAATGCTAATGAGAAATGAACAGCTGTGGACAGACATTGGATATTAGAAAAACTACAGAATTAAATCAATACACTCTGAAGATCTGTTGACCTCAGAATGGTAATCAGAGACATTGGATAATAGAAAAACTACTGAATTAAATCAGTATACTCTAAAGATATGTTGACCTCAGAATGGAAACCATGATATGTGTTACATTGGGGAAGGGGTTTTGCTTGTGTTTCCACAGGAGAAGAAATGCTATTGATACCGTCAAAATTGTTAAAGATTGCATTTGAACAAGAGAGACCTCTTGGTTAGAAGACGTGATAATTCATCAAACAGCATGGCCATTCAATCTAAATTAACCTATACAATTAACAAATGCTTTCATTTGATCAGATATAACTTGCAAAACAGAACCTCCCTAAAATTAAGGTTGTGCAAGGGTTTTGTTTTTGTCTCTTCAGAGGATAAGAAGCATCCAGCTAAGGAATCTGAAGACCACTGGAAAAATGACACATGTGAAGGAAAAAAACAAGCCACCCAGAAAAAAATGTCCCAAGAAAAGGAGTAATTAGTCTATTGATATATCACATTTTCAACAGGATAAAATTTTATAAATATTCCCAAATATTTGTTTCTGCTGTTCTCCACAGACACATAATGCAAATGGTCTTTTTTTAGTCCCATTTCAAATGAAAATTAAAGTTGGTTTTGATATTGAAGTGTGGCTCTTTCCTTCTCTAAACCCAAGCATGCTTGTTAAAGTAAAACTCAAAATCTCTGTCTCTTGTCAGAAGAGCCACCTGTGATATGGGTCAGAAAAAAAATTAGGGACTATTCTATTGCTACTAATCTCATAATCCTTTTGTTTTATTTTGACTCTTTAAAGCTTTTCTTTTTATTATTAAGAAATGTTTTATTCATTTTACATACCAACCACAGATCTCCCTCTCTTCCCTCCTCCTACCCCTCAGTCCTCCCCCCACAATCCACCCCCTATTCCTTCCTTCAACAAGGTAAGGCCTCCCATGGGGAGTCATCAGATCCTGATACATTCAGTTGAGGCAGGTCCAAGCCCTTCCCCCTGCATCAAGGCCATGCAAGATGTCCCGTCATAGGTAGTGGGCTCCAAAAAGCCAGCTCATGCACCAAGGATGGATCCTGATCCCACTGCTGGGGCTGGGGCACTTAAGCAGATCAAGCTACACAATTGTTTCGCTTATGCAGAGGGCCTAGGATATTCCCATGGAGGCCCCATAGCTGTTGGTCTAAAGTTCATGAGTTCCCATCAGTTTGCTTTGTATGTTTCTGTAGGTTTCCCCATCATGATCTTGATGTCCCTTGCTCATAGAATCCCTCTTCTCTCTCTTCAACTAGACTCCTGGAGCTTGGCCTGGTACTTGGCTGTGGATCTCTGCATCTGCTTCTATCAGTTACTGAATGACGTGTCTATGGAGACAGAGTATTCACCGATCTGATTACTGGGGCAAACGAGTTCAGACACTCTCTCCACTATTGCTAGTAGAATAAGCTGGGGACATCTTTGTGGATTCCTGGGAAATTCCCTTGCAACATGTTTCTCCCTCTCCCCATGATGTGTCTCTCTATCATGGTATCTCTTTTACTGCTCTCCCACTCTGTCTCTGTTCCAGCCTGACGATCCCATTCCCTATGTTTTCATCCACCATCCCCTACCCTTCATTGCCCCCCCCCCAGTTTACTCATGGAGATCTCATCTGTTTCCCTTTCTGAGGGTGATCCATGTTTCTCTCTTAGGATCCTCTTCCTTAGCTAGTTTCTCTGAATCTGTGAGTTGTAGTCTAGTCATCCTTTGCACATCTAGTACCCACTTATGAGTGAGTACATACCATGTTTGTCCTTCTGTATCTGGGTTACCTCACTCAGGATGACGTTTTCTGGATCTATCCATTTGCCTGCAAATTTTATGACATCATTGTTTTTATTGTTGGGTAGTACTCCATTGTGTATATGTACCACATTTTTCTTTATTCATTCTTTGGTTGAAGGGCATCTAGGTTGTTTCCAGGTTCTCCCTATGACAAATAATTCTGCTATGAACATAGTTGAGCATGTGTCCCTGTGGTATGACTAGGCGTCTTTTGGGTACATGCCCAAGAAAGGTATAGCTGAGTCTTGAGGTAGATTGAT